ATACATCATCCTGTCTAGGTAAATTTGCTCCTCCACTATCAACCAAATAAATGCAAGGTAATATATTTTCCTCCGCAATTTCTTGAGCTCGTAACTGCTTCTTGACCGTAATAGGGTAATATGTACCAGCCTTTACAGTAGGATCATTCGCAATTATTATACATTCAGTGCTAAAACAAGATATTTGAAGTGCTGATTCCAAAAGAATCTAAATTAATTTTGTTATCCATCACATACCCTTCTATTCTTCCAATACCAGTAATAATTCCACCTGCCGGCACCTCTTCCTCACCATACATCTCATAACCTGCTAATTGTGAAAATTCTAGGAAAGGCGAATTCTTATCTAAAAGAGTATTTATCCGTTCTCGAGGTAAAAGTTTTCCTTTGCTTGTATGTCTGTCTCTCGCTTTCTGTCCACCACCTTCAACTATTTTCTCCACAGTGTTCCTCAATTGATCAATAAGATTTTTCATTTGCATGTAATTCTCCTGTAACATTAAAAATAATTATACATACACAAAATATATCTGCAAACACGCAATTCATTTGTATTACAAAATTTATATAATTAAAGTAGAAACACAAACTCAACTTTATTCATGATATTAAACATTGATTTTTATATATAATTTTCATAAATTATGATATTATTACATTTTTTTTAGAGAAGTGGCGCGCACCTATAGTTATAAAAATAATAAAACAAAAATATACAATGGTACTTCCTAACCTGATACACCGGTGAGCTGGTATCCGGCGTAGTGCCGATGACAGACGCCTCCTCATGATAAAATCTCACGAAGGGTCGAAAATACCTCAATAAATAACGACTTCTCTGTAACATGTTCATAAATATTTTTTACTGCCAAGAGGAAAATGACAGTCTACAACAATTGGCACGTTGTAAGTTATTGTAACGTGCCAGTCGAAGATATCAAACTTGAAACCTCTGACGCACATGGAAGATTCATGTTAACGTCTTATCGCGATGACTCGGTCACTTGCCAAGCTTACCACCACTTGCACACACATGCGTGACTGTGCGCATCGGTGCGTGTACGATCAGAGCAGATCAGAGAGAAACCTAAGAGAGGACATAAGGGCCTTTTTCCTGTAATGGCAAAATGCCCCTGCATATCACTGCCCTCTGAAGAAGTGGATGCAAACCACACAACAATATCCAATTTTTTTTCGGTGCTTCTGATGAAAATGAATCGCTGAAATCGTTGAAATCCCTATTAATTTGATAGATTTATTTCAGCAATTTCAGCGATTTACTTCCATCAGGAGCACATGATTTATTTCTATAAACAGCATATACAAATTGTTATAAATATACAACTTTACAAATACTTTCTAAAGATGTCAAAATATACATAAAAATCGTTTAATAATTTTTATATACTTGTAAAAATGATGAAAATTAATCCAGACACGAATGACCCAACTTATATATAGTAATAATGCAAAGTCTAGTTTGGTGTCCCGTTGGTGATTCTTATACAGGATCCGAATTAATTCTGGGTTTTCTCGTTTGCAATTATTGGAAGAAATAATTTTGTCAATTATTGCTATATATTTTAAAATCAAGTTGCGAAATTAATTCAATGGTATACCTAATATTTAGCATACAATTATCGCTTTCTTTGTTTTATTAAATGTTCTATCACTATAGTATCAATAATGTTAGTAATAGTATTGTATTAATAACAATAAGAATTTAGTATTTATATGATTAATATGGATATACATATAATAATTATTTGTTTAAATCCAAATTATTAAGTAAATAAATGTAAGTTTTATACAAATAATTTGCTTATTTTTCGATGATTGTTCTAACAAAAATATATATGGTTACGTATGTATATTTAATTTTCTAACTGTTATTTTTAAATCATTTTTAAGTATTGGACATCCAGCCATTTCAGAATATTGTTCATTATTAATTTATGTGTACTTTTTTATGATAAAATACATGCAGATATATCATGAAATTATATTAAACAAATTTTGATTTTTGTCGATTTATAAATATGTATATAATATAAATATTTGCATAAATATTTGGCTCATACATTATTAAATTCATGATTTTTTATTACATAAATGTTCCATAAATAAATATGCATACTCTTATAAAGCTATAATATTTTATTTATTGCAGAAAAATTACGAGAAAGAATAATTGAGTATTATTGAGTTAAAAATGTATCGATACGTCTACTAAACTAATAAATCATAAAATTAGTACAATATTATCGGTTTTTAATTCTTAATCACTTCAACATTTACAAGGACGCGAACTAAGGATGTCGTTTTTAATTATATAGTATTTATGCTTTGGTAAAAACAAGCAGAAATAATTTTACCAATTTTAGGTAAAGCAGAGTTAGATGGCAGCAGCTACAAAAGACGTTGTTTGGCGCTACTGATGCACAGCTGATATACGCACTATATGTGATTATAAGTAGAAATTGTAGTGTTCGTATGTATGTTATTGTCTAACCGAAAATTGTAGGCGTAAAACGCAGATAACGCAGATTAGATATTTCTCTGTCGGTTAGAGAAATATGTTTTAAATCTTATTTCAATTAATCAGTTTCATTTTCTCTGTCATTATTGGTATATTGGCTACCATTGCGCGGCGAAGATGCCTAATCTAACCAGTTTATCCCATTTTCCTTTAAAGGTAATGTATGAAATGTCAACTACGTCCTTATTCAATGTGTGCGTTTTCAATGTTGTCATCGATATTCGCGACGTAATATTGTCGTTTTTAGTTGACATTTATGTGTGTATTTGAATTCATAATTTATTTTTGTTCGATTAGCAGTTTAATTTATAAATACATAAATATTGCACGATCAATAAAAACAATATGATATCGTTTATCATTATATTTTTCAGATTATATTTGCTATTCACTTGCTACTTGTATCATGGTAAGGACAGCTTGAATTCTCTACTGAAATGGAAACTCGATTTTATGTATCTATAAGAACTTGTATTTTTATAATATGTATAAAATGTAAAAACATTACAGGGGTATGCAAGGAAATTGGTGTCCCAAATCTGTACTGTTTTATAACTTGCTATTCTTTGTTTGTATATTTTGGGCTGTTCATAGTGTTGAATCTGACGAACCACTGCAATTTGTAAGTTATAAGTAAAAAGAGAGAACTTATTTGTTTTTATTTGAAATTGGCTGTAATTATATATATATATATATTTTACAGGCGTTTTTTATAAATGTATTCTCTATATTTCTTGATGTTATCACATTAGCACTCTATTATCCAAATATGTTCCTAGGTGAGTATATTGAATATATTGAATATATTGTGTATATTGTATATATATATATACATATTTATGTTGCAGTTAATAAAGAAAGAAGGAAAATAAGATATTACAAATTGTTTATTGATCAAAAAGTTTTTAACTCTGATTTTATTGTAGATGGGTCCGAAAAATTTAGCGCAGCCGTTATGGTCATAAACTTAATCGTTCGTCCTATATCGAGTATATATCTGTTGAGAATAGGCCAAGGGAGAAATGGCAACTTGGCCACAGTATTCGCACCAAGTCCTGCCATGGGTCAGTAAATCACTGGCTACACGTCTACGCTTTTGTAGTGCGTCAGTGCTTCGTCAAGATCTGATTTTAAGTATGTGCACGTATGCTTTGTTGCAAACTGTAGTTATTCTGTGCATTATTAATAACCTACGATTTTTAGTTACTTAGGTATCTATGTTTCCAGGCACTTCTGTTAAGACTGCTTTTTGCTTGAATTTATGTTGCATGAAAGTATAATGTGCTGCAACAGATCTTTTTATTGATTGTAAATAAAATTAGACTACGTCACATACATATTAATTACGTTACTTTGTTTAAATTCTTTATAGGTTACGGCAGGCAAGAGTACGAAGAAATTTCTCATCCCGTCCCACAAAACTCCGATTTCGAGGGAGTTTAAGATTGAATAGAATTTGTTTGGAAAAATTTTTTTTATCCTGTTTTAATCCTGCTGGTCTGTTAAAATTTACTATACGATTATATGGGTCAATATGATTAAAAAGTTCTAAAAAATAAAAAAACATTTACAGAAAATAAGATCTTGCAATACAGATGAAATCATTAAATACTATATAGAGAAAAAAGTTTTTAAATAGAATATTAGTAAGAAATTAAATTTTGAGTCAAATAAATTCAAATAGACCACCAGAGTTAAATCTAATATAATATATACATGTTTGTGACACATAATATATTTTAGATTATAATTTTGTAAGATTATTTATTAATGCTATATTAGTATTAATGAATAAGTGTTTAAAAATGTAAATTTCTTTACATAACGTTTTGTTAAAAGCTTCTATAAAAAATTAAAGATTATATATTTTTATTTATAACTGTTAATTTTCTATTTTTTAGTTGAATTTTGTGCAATATGTTAAGATATATATATATATACAGTCTAGTAAATTATAAAAATATAATTTATATAATCATATTTGAATATACGATATATATATTTCTATATTTTATCTAATCAAATAAAATAATAATATAGCAATGTTACAAAGGCATAAGTTACTTTAATCATATTTGTTAATTATTTTTATTGTTTAGAATTAATCGAATACAACGTTTTAAATCTTATATATATATATATATATATATATATATATATATTTCTACGCAGATCGTTGCATGTACCTAATATTTTTAATACATTCAAAATCTATTCTGTATAACTATTTCTACTATTGACTTGTGAATAAAAAATGTTAACGCAATCATCGTCGTCGAGAGAAAATTGCCCCGAAAGGATGCGATCCAGGAAATCCTTCCATATCTCGATTTAATTTCTTGAAATTCTTTTTATTTGTTATTTCTAAAAATAAGATAAAAATTATTCAATTATTCTCTAGATTTCTATTGTATTTTCTAGGAAAAACCGAATGACACGGAATGAATTCCGATTTGTTCCATGACGTCTAGATGCTGACAATCAGTTTCGGTAGAAAGAATTTCGAAGACACGGCGCGCGAGGTTGGCGGCGCCCGGCCAGGGACGCTTGATGGCGCCAGCGTCGCGAGTATAAGAGCCGCGTCCGTGAAGCGGCGCATTTCAGTAGTGTGGGTGATCGTAGCGGGAGGAGTGTGGCTCCGCGCGCGGCCGCACCGCGAAACCGTGCCCACTCGCCTCGATCACGGAACGTCCGCTCGTTTTCACGTCTCGTGCGAAAACATGGCGGCCAGCGACGACGAGCCGATGCATCACTACGAGGTCTTTCAGAACTGTTTCAACAAGATCGCCAACAAGCAGTCTGGTGAGTGTGCGTCGTCGGTAGTGTCCGTGTCTCTCCTCGCGCACGGGGATACCTTGCGCCGTATTGTGGCCCGTGTGGAGGATAAAGCGACGGACGTCTCTCTCTCCCTCTGTCTCCTTCTCCGGGGTGTCCAGTGTCTTTACCCGGTGCGTCGTGCGTATTTTAAAATCTCGTCGGCGTCTCGGCCGGCGGTCGATCGAGCCCGCGATCGCGCCGAGGATCGGCGCGTCGGCCGATCGTGTCGTCGACGGCCGCCAGGGCCTTACCTCGCTCTGTGTTTTGGTTCGCTTGTCAGTGCCCTGGACAGTGCTGCCCCGTCGACGACAACTAGCGACGAGAGCAACGGCTCTCTGCCTCGTGTTCCCCGCGTCCTGGTTACTCTCTTACGATTATCCCTCCGTCGGCGCGGGTTCGTCCTCGCCCTCGCCCTCGTCCTCGCGTGCATCGCGGCGCCGCGCCGGGATGCGAATAACATAACCTACAATGCGTTAGAGAGACGTCCGTCGCCATTCGCTGTCATGTGCAACAGTGTGAGCGATGGAGCGATATGTGCGTACGTGTGCGTGTGCCCGTGTGCGTGTGAGAATGTGTGGAGCATGCTCGTATGAATGCGAGGGTGAGAGAGCGCCGATAGGGAGGCTTCCGGGAAAGAGATGATCCCCGTCGCGATGCTCCGTTCCGCTCCCAGTCGATCTCTCTCGTATTATCGCGGTTTCGTACCCACGTGCCGGGACGTCACCGCGATCGTACGAATCGTTAGTGGTTAATCGCTCGGATGTAATGCGAGAATCCATAAATCGAATCCTTTTTCCTTCTTTCTCATACCTCTTCTCTTTTCCCTTCTCTTCTCTCTCTCTCTCTCTCTCTCTCTCTCTCTCTCTCTCTCTTTCTCTCGCTTCCTCAGCAGTCAGCCTCCGCGAACGTCGTTTTTCTTTTATTTCTCGCTTCATACACCTGCCAGAGAAGCAGCCACGAAGCGATGCGCCGTTGCGTGCCGCGGAATCGTGCGTTACCTCTCGAAAGCGGTTCTCATCCTTTGTGGATCTTTTGATTGTCACGACCATGTGTCAATTTCTAGCCCCCGCTAGTTTCTAAATGTCTAACATTTGGCAGGTTGTTTGATAATTTTTACTTGTTATCAAATGAATACTTGACAAGAAAAATTCCAATACTTATATCTTCACTAATGTAGTTTAATTTTAATTTCGGTTCAACTAATTGATCTTTTTCTATTTCTAATGCGCGTTTCTATCAATGTAGATTAATTTTAATCTCGATTTAACTTACTTTTTATCGTTTTCTAAGAATTAGAAAAAGATAAAGAGATAAATTAAACGGAGATTAATCTATATTGTTGAACCAAGGTTAAAGTTAATCCATTAATAAATTTGTAGAAATGGGCATAAAAGATGTAAATAATTTTAGAATATTAAATTTGTTTATTATAGGAACAAAACTACAAAACTATAGAAAATATTGATCTTTTATTTTTTTACGATATATTAATTCTTCGCAGCTTTAAAGGCATTATCAATATTTTGATTGTGAATTTTGATAGATAAATTTAAATGTGTAAAAAATAAGTAAAATACAATTCGATGATAAAAATTCGTTGTTAATGCTTCGACTGGTATACTAGAATTTTTTCAGATTTTTATATTATTCGTAACAATAAAAAATTTGCTCTGTTTCCCTGTTGCTGGCGGAAGAGTTAAATTCATGTCGCCGGCGGAGGATTAAATATTGTAATTAAAATCATTGAAAAATGTAATATTTGCACCTTGCTTGTTTGTATTAAGCCTGCAGCTATACTTTTCGATCTGTTTTTCAAACGATTATATGTATATAATATACCGAGAGAAAAATGTAACTATAATTACATGTTACCATAATTATGATTTTTACTGCTATAATGTTAGCTGTAATAAGTGTATATATATTATTGATAGAACTATATATACCTATAATAATAATTATTATATTATAGTAGTAATTATAATTATAGTAACGTAATTACAGTTACCAATACCAAAAATTTTACTCAGTGTACTTATAAGAGTTGTTATTATTATTATACTTGTTTCTAGTTAATCGATGTTGAATTATGCTCATGGTATTACAATGCTTTTTGAAACCGCGAGATTCCCACGTTAATTATCGTTTCTGAATGTGCACAAAGCAATTATGAAATTGCAATCCAGAGAAGGACGCGAATGCGTTGCGCGGCAATTCACGGCATAGTTGGTTAACTAAATCTCAAATGTTTGTTTGGTTTGAGACGCTGTTTGAAAGACGACGGGTGCTGTAGGCTCTCTTGTACGCTAAGTTCGGCGCAGCCGAGCGCCTCGGAAAGACCGCAAAAACTACGTTTTGGACGTCTCATCCGAGGCGGTCCCATATATTCCTTTGAAACGCTGCGGGAGCTCTGCGCCAGCTATTCGGTTAAATATAATTTATATCGCGGCATTGCGTACATCGTGAAACTTCCTAGGACGACAAACAAAGGAAAGGGTAACGTCGAGCTCGCGAGCCTTTGCATATTAGTTGCAAAACAACGCCTTGCGTAATTTCAGGCGCTCTCACGGAAAGAACGGTTTTGCTGAAGTATGTAAAAATTTAGATACAGATTTGAAAATAATTATGTTGAACCATCAAAATAATTATGTAGGACGCTACAGCTGGTTGCTATAAAAATGTCGAAACTTTTTGTAGTATTATTATATATCATGCTTGAGTTTTCTATATAATTATTTTGATAGTCCAATAAAGTTCTTTCTATATTTAAATCTATATTTACATAAATTTCAGAATCATTCTTTTTGTGTATTGAAAAAAATACTAAATTTTAATAAATATTTGTTTGATATTTATATTTATTTGATGTAAAATCTATTAATATAATTATCTTCTTATTTATTGAAAGTAAATGTTTACTTAATATTATTCAAAGATATTTGTACTAAGATTTAGTAAATTTTTTTTGAATGTACGAAACCACAGAAAAATGACTGGCTGGATTAATTAGAATTCTGGTTGAAAAAAGAATAGAAACAGAATTTTTTAGTTAAATCTACCAGAATTCTAGTTGAGATAACCGGAATTCTGATTGATATAATCAGAATCTTCTGATTCGTCCATTTTCTCAGATATTTTTCTCAGCGAGATAAACAATTATACCGAGTTACGTTAGGTATTGTAAATGAATTATGTTTCTCTCTCTCTCTCTCTTTCTCAGCGATATTAAATTAGTAGCAAGATATTTGATATCACGTTTATCGAATGTCTTCACGTCGGTAGTATTTTAACGACAGAAGATTAAACATCTCCGTTCTCGGCGATCGAAGAACCGTTGCAACAGAATCGATGGAGTTCGTTATTTACGCTTGAATGTTTCCACCGGGTGTCGGATTCGCCGAGTCTCGTTTCTTATAATTTGATAACTATGAGACAGTAGACTGTCGTCAGTTCGTTTCGGCCCGTTAATCTTGACGATTGTCGTTTCGCGTCGAAGAGACCTTCGTCGCGGATCTTTCTGCGCCGCGCTCGTTATTAAGGCTCGTATTACTTTGCGTACCATACTTAACGAGCCGTATTACAGCGGTCGCGAGCCTTCAATTTACGGCACGATAGCTCTGTATGCTATTTTGCAAACAGTCCGTATTAAATTTCGGTCTTATCGCAAGCATAGAGGATAACAGCAGGAGCATTGACAATAGATTTATATTATTAGTAATATTATTAATCACCGTAGTATAAAATAATTTAATAACAAACATACACACACGTACACAAGAGAAACATAATCAGCTGGATTAAGTCTTATCACAAAATCACATAACGTATCATCTTTATGATTTCCTGTAATATCATGTATGGAAAGAATTCGATTTTGCTCCAGTATTTAAAAATTTATCTACAGATTAGGACTTGGGTACAGAAAATAATTTTGTTGAACTATCAAGATAATTATAGAACGCTCAAGTATAATGAATGATATTGTAAAAAGTTGACGTTCTAGCAATCAACTTGAATGTTCCTTATAATTAACATAACAATCTATAGATTTTTGATATTAAAACAAGGAAGTTAAACGAGCAAATGAGAGTCACGTGTAGTTGTCAGTGCACAAATTAATAGATAATTCACAATATGATTAATTCTTAAAGTTACATTTATTTTAAATCACGTTTCGATTTCTCTTCGGACCATTCTCAGTGAACAATATTGATATTTAAAATTAGAAAAGTTTTAAAATTTTAAACATTAGTATTGTTTACTCAGGATGGCTCGGAGAGGAATCGAAATGTATGATTTTAAAATAAATGTAATTTTAAGAATTAATTATATTATCTACTAATTTGTGCACTGATAACTGCACGTGACTCATTTGCTTGTTTAATTTCTTTATTTTAATTCTCACATAATTATTATTTATTTTCAGATCTGTATCTAGCTAAATTTTTAGATACTTTAACAAAGCCGTTCTTTCGATATACAGCCAAGGATCGTCATAGGGTTCAAGTGCAAGGGTATCCCAAATACTTATCGAAAATACTTCCGGTGTCTGTTTTAATTTACTCTAATTTACTCTCCGTAAAGATTCACCCATTGTGGTCTTTGCTTTGGTTTCGCGTTGCGTATAATTAACCGATCGACTGAAATTTTATCAGTCACGCAACATAGTAACGTACATAAACAGAGATAAAAGGCGGTCAGAGAGATAAGCGTTTCATTGTTCGTCCGTGTTTCATGACGTCGGTGAAACGGTCGCTTCGAGAATGATTTCACGTTGTGTTTCACCGCCGTGGCGACGAGATGCATCCCGGAGAATCCATCGGCGAAGATAAACGTTCGCGCCGGCGCGAGAAAATAATCTGATTTGAAATTACGCGTAATGCGGCGAAAACACTCCTCGCAGTGCCGAAACCTAACGGATCTAAAATTAGTCACGCACGGTGTGACTCACGAGTAAATCTACCTGGGGCACTAGTTTGTTTCAG